GGGATAGACAATGAAATAAGTGGAATGCGTGGAAAGAAGTCGCCACTATTGGGCACACTCGTTTCCATTGTGTTTGGAGGCCCATTTTCGGCGATCCGAAAAAGCGATCCACTATACTCGGTAATATCTTTTTCGGTGTATCATGAAACGGGTAGTATAAACCGAGATGACGCAGTTCTCAGTTCTCGTCACAATTGAAAAAACCATCTACTGATATGAATGGCATGAATGGCAATATCGATTGTAGGATATAAACGGATTACATTCTAGCTAATAACTAGAATATCTCTACTTCTCTAGTATTTGATTTGCAGAATACCTCTAGTTTCTAGCTCCATTGGGAGTAAATATGAAATATCAAGCAAATAATGTATTTCACTTACACTGACGAGATCACCTCTGTACTGAACAATTTCAAGAACCGGGTCTGCCTCACAATTCCGTTAATGGAGGAGCCCCGTCTGCTGGAGGAGCAGAGTGCTTGGTCTGCACGAAGACCTTCTGCATGCCCATCTCTCGCTTATTGAAAACCGCATACAATTTCTCCATGTCTTCCAAACGGACTCGGTGGGTCACCATATCCAGTGGGTTGATATCGTTCGTTTGAATAAGGTGCATGAGGTGCTTCCAATACTTGTGCACAGGAGCCTGCCCATTACCCATAAGATGAACACCTGTCTGCATCAGAGCCCCAATGTTAAAGTGATTGGTCTGAGGATGATTTGTTAGATACTTCACTCTTCCGAAAACTGGTCAACTCACAAATCCGGCATAGACACCCGTCACCCCAACATGGCCAAACGGGCGGACAGCAGTAATCATTTCATTCAACAACTCCGAAGTATCCGTCTCCATTCCAAGCAGCTGCTCGAAGTAATGTGCCCATCCTTTGGCGTATTCACCTGCTGCACACTCCAAAGCAACATCGGGTCCGCCCTCGACCATTTTTTGCAGCTGTGATGTCACCGACTCGCTTCGAGGCAGGTCAGTGAAGTTGATTGTCTCAACCATTGGCACTTTAGTCTTTACAAAGTCCAATCGCCATCCACCGTCACCTCCGTCGATAAGGATGACTCGACTAGCTCCATGGAAGAAGCTGAACTGTGCGCACATCTGCCCGATCGGTCCTGCTCCCCAGATCGCAACAACATCTCCTTTCTTCACGCCAGTGTCGACCACGCAGTGCCATGATGTTGCTATAACATCCGAGACATAAAGTGCCTTCTCATCTGGTACTTCGGCTGGAATAGAAAGCAGATTGACGTCGCCGTATGGAACTCGAATGTACTCGGCTTGCCCACCTGCAAACCCACCTGTGAAATGGGAATATCCAAACATGCCTGTATCCCAATTTAGTATGAATCTCACGACCCTCAGGGACGTCTGAATTGCATATCGTACTACACTGGTCAACTTACCTGCCGTTCGTTTCCCATATAAGACATTGGTCAAAGTATTCTCGTTCGTCCTGTCGCATTGAGAATAGTACTCTCTCCGACAATTCCTGCAATCCCCACAGGCAATCGGAAAAGAAACAACAACTCGTTCTCCAACTTTGACCTTCTTTGACTCGGGCCCTACACTGTCCACAACTCCACAGCATTCATGACCGAGCACGTCTCCCTTCTCCAACTGAGGAATGACTCCTTTGCCGGCAAAGTCGTGTCAGTCTATTCGCTCGCTCTAATCGTGGAAATATCTTCATACCGTGATACAGGTGAAGATCGCTACCGCAAATAGTGCTTCCTGTCACTCTAACAATCACGTCTCCAGGGTCGATCACCCGTGGCTTCGGCATTTGCACTAATCGCAGTGATCAGCAAGCATACAGGGCTTAAGCTGGTATTTTCGTCTCTCGCCTACCAACTTTAACATGGTTCTTCCCTTGCCAGGTAGTAGCCTGGATCATCTCTCCGGTCTCCACTCCATGTTCATTGTCGTATCTAGACACATCAGTGGCAATTGTCGCATTATCACCGTGGCCGAGAATCTTTTCTACCAGGTTTGCTGCCTGGGTCAACGCCATTTTCAATATAATTGAGGGTATGTATGATTGGGATGTGATGAATTTATGCGTTTGGGGGTAACAGGAACTGAGAGCACAGTTTTATACTCAGATGGGCAGCAAATGTTGGAACTCCAGGCTTTGGGGCGTTTTCTGTCAACTGACATCACCATGATGTGGGTATACGTCAAGCAAGGCTATCCCTCATTTGAGGAATCTATCATGTTGCTATATAAAGAGGATTATACCTCTGGCAGCATGGGGTTGCTTCACTTGGCGTTGGAAATCTCCGATATTTGAATCTCAGGCGCAATAAACTGCTCCCCGTGAAGGGGTTGACCGTCCCTTCAAGAAGAGAAGTTTTAATATATTATTTTGGTATTGAAGCGCCAGACTTCTTGCGCACAAATCTGTGGACTTCGTTTGCTGATCAATTCTTCGTTGTATCATATAAACCCATCACAGTTGGTGATGCGCAATAATATTCGGATATACATCGGGATGTGTATAAAGAAATAGTGGATTTTATGAGCGTTTCAAGATTGCTTGACGTTTAGGTCACTCGAATACGGATTACAAGAGAATACTAGAAGCTCATCTTAATTATTTCTACTCAAATATGTCTTCGCAGATTTACTAGAGCCGATCTAGTAGCAAATGGCGTCATAGGGCCTAGTTTCGTACGCGATTCGTAGCTCCAAACTAAGCATTTACCAAGCCAAATATATTGTGAGGTCAATAGCTTCTACCTACTCCGTATAAAGTAAATCGATATACATACAGGTTATTTGACCTATAAGAAAAGAACATGTACTCCGTACTCACACGTGAATAAATAGAGCTGAACTTGTTATCAGTAGACCGGACTCGGCGATAAGCAAGGGGCATTTGGATGGATCAGGTACCAGCCCCCGTCGGGGTTCCGCCTTTCCCCTCACGAGTCATCCTCTTCTACCCTCCCTCTTCCCTACAATCACATACTCTATTCACAAACATGACAAGAAAATACAGTTCCACCCAAGGCCTCGATATGCCATGGGCTTCACAAATATCCGCCCAGCTGCCCAATCCGTTCATGCCTGTACCTTCAGCACTGCCAGTCCGAGCTCAGCAATCGATCTCCGATGAGCCCGTTCACCCCGAGGATTACTCCAAGCCATACTGCGAGTTTATGACTTCCAATCCCACGATTTTCCACGCCGTCAAATCCTTCTCCAAGCAGCTCGAAGACCATGGCTATAAGCACCTCTCTGAGCGAGCGGTGTGGACATCGGAGCTGAAACGAGGCGGAAAGTTCTACACTTCCCGCAACGGCAGCTCTTTGATCGCTTTCAATATTGGCTCCAAATACGAGAGCGGAAACGGTGTGGCTATCGTTGCTGGCCACGTTGATGCTTTGACTGCCAAGCTGAAGCCCGTGTCCAAGCTACCGAACAAAGCAGGCTTCCAGCAGCTCGGCGTTGCCCCATACGCTGGTGGTCTCGGCAATACTTGGTGGGATCGTGATCTTGGTATTGGTGGTCGCGTGCTCGTCCGCGACCCGGAAACTGGCAAGGTGGAGACTAAACTGGTCAAACTTGACTGGCCTATTGCTCGTGTGCCTACCCTCGCTCCCCATTTCGGTTCTCCTGCGAATGGCCCATTCAACCAGGAAACTCAAATGGTGCCTGTCATCGGAATTGATAACTCTGATCTGTTTGAACATTCCAAGGTCGAGTCAAGCAACGTCAAGTTTGGCACATTTACCTCGACCCAGCCTGAGAAGCTTGTGAAGATCATCTCCAAGGAGCTTGGTATCACAGACTACAGCACTATTGTCAACTGGGAATTGGAACTCTTTGATACCCAGCCCGCTCAACTAGGCGGTCTAGAGAAGGACATGATCTTCGCCGGTCGCATTGATGACAAGCTTTGCTGTTATGCCGCACAGGAAGCGCTCATTGCGTCCTCGGACAGTACATCGACTGGAACCGTGAAGATGGTTGGTATGTTCGATGATGAAGAGATTGGCAGTTTGCTCCGCCAAGGTGCTCGGTCGAACTTTATGAGCAGCGTCATTGAGCGGATTACCGAGGCCTTCGCGGAGGGCAACTATGGCCCCAGCCTCCTTTCCCAGACAGTGGCCAACAGCTTCTTGGTGTCATCGGATGTCATTCACGCAGTGAACCCGAACTTCCTCAATGTCTACCTCGAGAACCACGCGCCCCGCCTCAACGTTGGCGTGGCAGTCTCTGCCGACTCAAACGGACACATGACTACCGACAGTGTCAGTGAGGCCGTCATTAGGCGAGTTGCAGAGCGCTGTGGGTCAACCTTGCAGGTCTTCCAGATTCGCAATGACTCTCGCAGCGGTGGCACTATCGGGCCCATGACCAGTGCCCAGATTGGTATGAGGGCCATTGACTGCGGTATCCCGCAGCTGAGCATGCACAGTATCCGGGCGACTACTGGAAGCTTGGACCCCGGCCTGGGTGTCAAGTTGTTCAAGGGATTCTTCGATCATTACGAAGAAGTCGACAAGGAGTTTACCGACTTTTAGATAGATAATTTCGCGCTTCGCTCTGGGCGGTATAGAGCGCTCTCTTCTTTTTGCATGCCTGTTATAGGCGGGTTGTCTCGTTCTTCTACGATTTAGGCGTGTATTGGACTACAACCAAGTGGCCTTATCCTGACCATTGCTCTTCCAACTTTCGGTATTAAGTTATCTGTTTTGTTCGATTGCTGTACCTCCACTATCTATATATCCAAGAATTTCCAAACCTACATTCCAAATTACTATATTTTGAAATGACATATATAAAAAAAAAAAGGAAAACGAGGGTATACCCACAAAGTATTCATGGCCCGACAACCGTCAGGCCCAAAGAGCGTGGTGAAATTCTCACAAGAAACACAAAGAAAAATCCGACGGGTATATCGCATTATACTCCAAGCCATCAACATGACTGTATGAGCCATTTAGAAAGCAAAGGCGTGTCTATACAGCAAGAGACACTTAAAACGGTACCCCCGAAGCCGGAGGAAAAGCTGGTGGGAAAGCACGAGGGTGCATCATCATATTAGGACGAGGCGCAGAAATCGCAGCAATCTGTGTCAACTTCTTCTCCTCCTCTCGCGTCCAGCGCTTAAGACTAGATCTAAGCCCAGTACCAGGAACAAGAGCGAGAACACGCTCCGGGTCGCCAGCGCCGTACTCGTGTTCCTCGCCGGGTGCGCCGAGAGTTGATGCATCACCGTTCCACTCGGAGTTGCGCTGGGTTGTGTCGCCGCGGGTGGGACGACTGGCATTGAAGGTAGATATCATTCCTGGGAAGATGCGGGCGATGAGGGGTTTCAGGGTTGGTAGACAGGCGCATATTATGCCTGTGTTGCATTCTATGGCGGACCAGGAGGCAGCGCCGACGTTATCGACTGGGCTGTGTTAGTTTGGATTTTGGGAGTAGGGATGAGTGGTACGACACGTACAGGTGGGATCGGATGAATCGGCAATCTTTTTCAGGCTGACTAGACGGACAATACTGGTAATGCAGACACTAGTGAGTGTTGTGTTAGTTCTTGGACGGTTGATATTTGAAATGGGATAACTCACAAGCCACCCAGACCGAACATGATCATTAAAGCAACCTTCTGTCTTCGGGGCAAGTCGACTGCCATTAAAGCCGGGATGGGAATGATCAGGATAGCAATATCGGTTGCGATATGCATACTAGCATTGGAGAACCACAGCTTGGTCTTGTTCAAACAGAAACCTTCGATTGTAGGGTCCCAGAATTTGGCGACGGGAATACAGTTGAGGAATGCACTGATCACCGCCCATGTGCCGTATATGGCGAGGATGGTGATCATGATCCAGCAGACGACACGCATGCGGTGGGTTGGGAAGACTCGCCAGTACTGCATTAGAATCGAGGCTTTGGCGCAGAGAACGGCGGCGTTGTAGAAAGGAATGGTGAGCCAAAAGGCCTATTCGGATTGTTTGTTAGATGTGGCTGGTATCTAACGACCCAGCTTAGGGCAAGCTCACCTTCAACTGTCGCTCCAGGATGGGTGGTGGGATATCTTTAATGTGTGTCCCGATGCCACTAACGCATTCGACAATGTCGAGACCCATGAAGACATATGAGTTCACCTATGCATTCGTATCAACATGTGGCATTCTTGGGTACCAATCACCCAACTTACCAGTGCGATAATGACCATCCAGTCATTTGCCTCCACTCGTCTCATAAGTCTTACACGAGTATACATCCTCATCGTCACGAAGCATGTTGCCAAGGCCGTGAACACAACGCTTATAACCAAGGCTTGCTCGCCACGGGAGGACATAAGTATGCCGTCACTATCTCGCCTGTAGATCCCATCTCGAGAGTGCAATGAATTCATCGTCAAGCGATCTTGTGGCTTTGGAAAAACGAAAGGATGGCTACTCCCCAAAGAGAAGATTGCCCGGGGAACAGTCTAACGATCAGATCAATAGTTGATTCAGATCTGATATACGACTGAGATGGGGCACAAAGGAGTGATAAGAGTATGATCTCTCGATCCACTGAGAAGCGAAAATTCTTCGAGGATATAGCCGTATTATAATCCTAAGCGCATAAACCTGATACGCAGCGTCGCCATAAACAATGCAGCCCCAGAAACCAAACGGCCTAGGAGAGAATCCACTATCCCTTTTTGAGAAACAGACAGTACCAATTCCCAAAATTTATCAACCATTTCATCTCTCCTCACTCCTCGGATGAGCGGCCCAATGCTTTTGACGCGAGACAGCATCCCCGTCTGGGAAGCGTGTTTGCAGCAGCGTGCAGCGCAAGGGGCTGCATACAACGAATCGGGTACAGTGTTGGCCCCGGATGAACTCGGTTGGTACATCTATGGCTTCGTAATCTCACATCTATACGATGTTTCTTTGTTGTTCTTTGCTTTTGCGTTCTTTTCCTTTTTTCTTTTCTTCTTTGGGTACAATTTGCATGGGACTAAATTACACTCTGCAGGGTTAAATATCAATTTCCCACACCTTATTCTGAGACCCCAGAATCACTTACCCCTTCCGTCTCGCTGTGAATGGTTCAATAATTTCAAGCTATTCCTGTCGATCGCATGACGATCCGCTTGACTTACTGCTCCAACCTGGACAGCACTACGGAGTCTGCAGAGGCTATTCTTGCCGTGTACAGTCAATTGACGCACGGAATCTTTACTTCCACGGACTATCATTACTTTCTCGGTTGTTGGGTGCTATATACAATAGTCGAAGGGGTTCCAAATCACTTTGAATATGCCATGATGCAAGACTTGCATACAGTGCTTACTTACTCCGTACAAACAGCTCGGAGATCATCTTACTTGATATCCGATCATCTCCGACTGTGACACTGAAGAAGCATTTATATGTTGTAGGAACTGATGATGACGGGTGGATCCTAAGGCTATACTGCCCTAAAGTCAGTCAACCCTATTTATCGATCTGCCCATCGAATCTCGCATAGTAGATCTACATGTAAATGCTGCTCGGTCATGGGGATCAATGTGAGACCAAGGGTGTCAAATGTCAACGCTATTTAATTATGTACTCGCTATGATGGCCTCTAAATCGTGATTATGCGCGTCACCTTTCAGGTTAGAAGCCAACTTTCATATCACTTTCCACGAAATGGTACCAGTGCACGAAAATGTTAGGCAATGGAGGCGCGGTGCAAACGGCAATGACGGAGGTGATCAATAAAATCCTGTAACCCAAGTTGTCACAATACTCTTGATTGACCCTTGTCTGAATACTCTAATACATGAGTTGATCGACTCGACCTATGCCCCTCTCGTTTGCCCCTCATATTGTTACCTTGGAGACTCGAGAAATGGTCAGAATAAGGCTGGACATGTCTCAACAGTTGACTGAGAAACAAACAGGCCACCATAGTCACTGTCTCATTTTGCATGTTAGGGCTATATTAAGCTCATCTACCTTGATGTGTAAGGGGCGCTTACTTATTGCCACTCAATTACTCCCTATGCGACGGATCCACCCAAGGCTAGAAAACGGAGTGTCCAATTGAATATCGAATGGAAATACGAGAGAGTTAAATCTCCCATTTGTTGGAATATCAGCCACATGCAATTGATAATGGTAGAGAGGCCTTGTAAGGGATAACCATTTTCCCTTGCCCCGGATCTGCTCCCGAAAAGCTTCGTTTACTTTCTCAAATATGAGTATCTGTTTAATTTATGAAACCTGCTAAATGGATTTGGTTAATAATTTCTCACCGTTTGCAGGATTATTTTGTGGCCTTGACTAGTAGCGTCTCACAGCATCCAAAGCTGCTAACCATGAAATTCAGCTCGTGGCAATGCGTCGAATCTTTGGAAGAATTCAAAAAAAGCAATTAAACTGTCCCACTATTTCTACCAACAGTGTGTGGCTAAAAGACCCTGCTGCTGGCTAAGTTGACCTGTCACATACAACGGAGTACCATTATTAGGATACACTCTTATCGATATTTGATGTTTCGTCCTCGAAGGATGAAAGAACCATGGTTTTGCATTCCTAGCTGCCACATTTTTGAATCCTGTAGTGGAAAACTTATGTACTCCGTATGCAGTACTCCGTACCTCCTGTCAATATGCAGGGCGCAAGGTGCTATGCGTTGCATGAAGGCGGCTGCCTTGCTTGCCGAGTTGTCATGGCAGCTTGAGAATTTAATCTTGCATTAATCTAAAATGCGGGATCTAGTTTCTATTAGAAACCGACTGTTCCCCAATCCTAGGGTACCTAAACCGCGTCCAATTTGGAGCTTGGAAAATGACACTTGAGGCCTAAAATTGTATTGACGCGCCAAGAAGGTGATAAGGGGAGCTAATACATGAGAGCCAATCAAATGGTTACCTTGTCACAATTTTGGGCAATTTGACACGCCAAGACGTTTCTATACCTGCTTCTGTCGACGATGTCATGGGACAAAGTGCATCCCCTGCTACCCATTTATCACTGGTCGGCCATTTTGCTGTAGCTAGCCGGTTTCAAATTAGGATAGGGACAGCTCGATTGGAGCACATTCCGCATTCCACGTGTATTAACCGTCTCTCGTGGCTTTGTTGATGGCTTTAGGTCTACAAACCTCTTGAGAGATTGCATATCCAAGAATTCTGCTCATGCTAGCTCGTCAGAACACTGTCAGATTAAAATAGAGACAACTTCTTGCATACCATACGCCGAAAGCTCTTCGAATCTATCGCGGGCTGTGCAAGCTATTTGTACCAATATGTCAGCTCCGTGTTCTAAATCAAGCCGCTGCTGATTAAAACGCGACAAGTGATTATGATTCCTTCCAGGCTGCAGCAACTCTCTTTGCCATTGTCTGTTTTCTTCAATTTTCTTTTCCACAAGGACCTTTGGGATTTCGGTTGAGTCTGCAGATTGAAACATGCAATCCACATGCCCCTATTCTAGAGAAGATCACGTCTCCACAGAAAGACAAGTAACGTATGTGAGGCTCATGGCAACAATCTTGAAAGCCGTATTTGTTTGATGCAATTTAAGTAGAATCATCGCATATAGGTTCTCTATTGTGGGTATACTTTTTATGACACTTCGAATCCCGTCACGAGAGGTGAACGAATTTGTTTGGCCTATTAATGTCACTTTATGCTTACTACTTGGAGAGACACTTTCCCCAGCCCGGGGAGGCATCGGCAACCTACTGGCCTGGTTTCCAACATCTGCTGTTGTCTCAACGTGTGGACAACTGGGTGTTGCGTCGTGCTTGAGTTAAAGAAGAAATCTTTCTCCTGTTGAGACCCAGAAGGATCTGTTTCTAGAGATCAACCTCCGCTATGGTATCAAAATTCTCTCGTTCAATTGTTGACCGCTTATGCGGCCTTATGATGTCTCTTTGGTGGTCTTTTCGGTGGGCTTCTCATATATTCTGTTTAGATGTCAATTTTTTGAGATATTTCGCCCTTTTCTCTAAATTATAGGTAGGTAGACAGGAGATAGAAAGTGTTAAGGGACTTAATTTGTAAAGACGACTTTTTCATGTACAGCCTAGGGTTGAACTAAGAGCATCTCAGTGTTGAAGAATATATATTAACAATATTGGGGTCATTGTCGCCAGTTTGACCAACCTGTCTTCAACCTAGTATATAGTGTTAGATATAATAATGTGAATATCAGAACAACAAGCAAACAAATCTACAATTAAAGCCTTCTGATGTCCAATTGCATGTAAAAAGACGAAAGTTGTGGAATTGCAGTAGATTTGGATAGTCGATAAGATAGTCCGATAAGGACGCACAGGCCACTGTTCACAGAGAAATTTCCTTTCCACAACTCAGCCAATTCTTTCAGTCGCCAACGATCTTGTCTTTTCTCATTGTCGATCAGTGGGAATAGTCCTAATACATAGGACAACATGGCAGACACTACTGCCGCATCCACCAAGCCCGTCCACACAATCGTGCTGGACGCTGGCCCGATTCTCAAGAATACCCCGCCGCTTTCAACCCTCCTTGCCCAGTGCGACGAAATTATCACCACCCCCTCCGTCGTGGCCGAGATCCGCGATCCCGATGCCCGCGCACGTGTCGAGACCCTCTACCTGCCTTTCTTGAAGCAGCGATCCCCCACACCCAAGAGCTTCAATATTATTAGCGAATTCGCTCGCAAGACCGGTGATCGTTCTGTCCTGAGTAGAACCGATATTGAGGTCCTTGCCCTTGCCTACGAAATTGAGTGCGAAAAGAACGAAGGAGACTGGCGGTTAAGAAGCGTCCCTGGACAGAAGAGAATCAATGGAAAGCCGCCTGCGAAGGAGGAATCCGAGGAGACCAAGCCCGAGGATGCGGAGGTGGAAGCCATTACAGAGGGAGTGAAGGAGACCACAGTCGCAGATGCCCAGGAAGAGTCACCAAAGGAGGAAGAAACTGCTGCAACTAAAGAGGCTGACGAAGTCGCCGAGGTTGTTGTTGCGGTTGCTGAAGAAGAAAAGGACGAAGATCAGGATGCAGAGGATGATGCCAGCGACTCTGAAGACGGAGAATGGATCACACCCTCTAACTATAAAAAGCGTCTTGCCGATGATGAATCTGGGACCGCGACTCTTACAGCTGCGCCCAAGACAATGCAGGTTGCGACTATGACCACTGATTTCGCGGTAAGTACACCCCACACAACATCTGTATATCGACCAATTGCTGATTCTGTATAGTGTCAAAACGTTCTCCTACAAATGAACCTCAATCTTCTGTCTACCACCACTCTCCAGAAGATTCAGCATCTTAGAACCTTCATCAAGCGCTGCCACGCTTGCTTCTTGACCACCAAGGAGATGAACAAGCAGTTCTGCCCTCGCTGTGGCAAGGATACTCTCACTCGTGTCTCGTGCACG